GCAAGGGCATGTGCAGATGCAAAAAGGAAGCGGGGTACGCTTCAATAATTTAGAAAAAGTAACACTCTGATAACAGACTAAAATATTCCTTGATCATTCTTAGTTTATAAAAGCGGATACATCACGAAAAAGTCGCAACAAATGTATTTAATAATAGCAAAAGTAATCTAATAAAATGATTTCATAAGCATTATATTCTAAAATAATACTTATATTTTACTTGTAATGTAATTATAATGAATGTATATAAATGTAAGAAATATACAAAGTTTCTATTAAACTACAAACATGTTTTAGAGCAAGTAAGCTTACTAATAGTATTATTACAACATTACATGTGAGATACAAGCACTTAACTCTTATTATAATCTGCTAAAATTATATTATAAGTTATTTGTAACAATAGTTGATTGATTATAATAGTCATAAAAGTAATACATTATACTTGTAAGTTAATTACAATACTTCTAGTAAGATAATATGCAATTATATATATTAATATTGATAACAATCACTCTGTCAGACTTATAAAATAATTTGGTTTTACTTTTAAACAATATATCGAAGTGATTACATAATCGAGTACCGAAGATCGAGCGCATATAATGACGCACTTGCTCTCGTCACTCCTTTTCCTCCTACCTCCACCATCTCCCCAACCCTCTTCCCCCAACGCTATGTTGTCGCTCTTGTTCTCTCTAGCCCAGTCCTCTGCCTACAAGCATCCTCCAGCAGGCACACTGCCTGCAATAAACATCACTGTATTCGTCTCTCTAATCTGCCACTGTAATGCCCGTGCTGAGTCTCAGATCCTGTGACGACACGACTGAGCTGGCTACACCGTCCTTCATCGTAAAGTGTAAGCAGCCAGTCCACTGCATAATAACTTGCACAATGGTTACTCACCCCTCTCCTCCCAACTTTTTGTCTCCCTTCCATCCCTCCCGCTCATTGCTCCGCCGCTTGCGTTGCCTCTCCTTCGTTGTCCTCCTCTGTTTATGCTTGCCTTCCTTTTTGCATTCGCATTCGCGCATCCGCATTGTTGACCAATGCTGAACGACTTCTTCAATGTTTCCATACATTCGCATACTTCCTGCTCTGTAGTGCAAGCAACAGTCGACAAGCGCGCGCTCGCAACAATACCAACGTACAACCACTCCCATGGTACGACCCTCTCTTTGACGCTGTACGCGCTCTCCTTCCCCACCCATTCTATGCTTAACGTCACTCTCGACAGGTCCACCCCACGTGCATTTACATTCCTTAGTGCAGCGGACAACACCATATCGAACGGAAGCAGTGGACCGCCACTTACCCCTCCTGAGCAGAGTCCGTCAATACATTCCACTTTGCCTTCTCTGTTCGAGCCAGTACGTCCCAGAGATCAATCCACAACAATGACTCAGTTCACTGCTCCTCCAATTGCACGTCACAGTCAGAATATGTAGCATACGCGTACTGATACAGCTTTGTCTGCAGCCTGAATCAACTCGTTCAACGCTCCGGATCTCAACCTGCATGCACCACTCACACTCACTGCACGCTGTCACAGTACGTCCACCTTTTCTCTCCTATAGATACTTACTAACTACTCTAAACCTGTCTAACAGGTGCAGCCTCAACCTCCACAACCTGCTCGACCTCAACCCACACGCACACGCAATTTGACTCACAGGTCCCGAGCGACGGCCAAACGTGGTGACGAAGACTACATCAAACAGCCTAAGGATGCGTTCATCCTTTTCCGACACGAATTCTGCTCACAAAAGAACAAGGCAGAGGCTGCTAGTGGTGCAGGGGTCAGGACTGTAGAAATAATGTATCATTTATTATTTTGTATTAAATAATTAAATATAATTATATTTTATAAATTATTTGATAAAAAATTGTATCTAAAGCAAAAGGAAGTGATTCAAATGCTTGTAATGGCTTATAAGCATTATAAGTAGATATTATACTGTTACAAATTAATAAGCATGTCTTAACCTTATAATCTTAGGAAGTATATTATAATCACTTGTATAACTTGACAATTTACACAATTATAATTGTAATTGCCAAGTTTTAAAAGTATTCTTGTTTACTTATTTAACATTGTACTATCATTGCTTAACCCCCTATGAAGATTATATTAACATTGACAAATTTTATAAAAGGTACAAAATGTATAGGATTACAAGTGAATACAATACTTAAGACTTTTTCGTGATGTAGGTATGGAAAAGGGTACCAGCTCTCTGAAGTCCTAGGCCCGTTGTCAAGGATCCCTCCTTAACCCTCCTTAAATGAGTGCCAAGCGAAGTGAAGTTGCATCGACGCGGTGTTGTATGGGGTCAGACTTCAATTACGTTTATACCTACAGAAACGCTGTATCCAGCTCTTTTTAATGGGAAGATGCAGGATTGGATACTTGAAGACTTGAAGACATGCAGTTTGACGATTTAATTGGGCAGTGCAAAAGGTAAGTAACATTCATGTGCTGCTGTATTGATCATTTAGTACAGTAGCAGTGTACAGTTACAGAAAAAAAGGTGACACCCTAACTTATATCAAAGTTGATAAAGTTGCAAAATGATACTAATGATATTAATAGAAGTCATTGCAGCAGTCTAAACAATTGGTCAAAACTTGGATAGAGAATGATTATTCAATAATGAACGATTTGATCATGTTCACATATAAACTTATTGTACCAGGGTGCAAATGGCCAATTTGCATTAAAAGACATAGGCGTTTTGTATATCTCTTTACTAGATAGGATCCATTCTAATTGAACAATAGTGATAACATTACTTAATTTATTTGTGATGATCATAATGTAATTTGCGAGTAATACTGAGGCATTCCAGTGGGCAGCAACAGGATATTTGCATAACTCACTTGGCCTCACTGGGTCTGCCCCTGGCCTTGTGAGCCAACACGTTCATTTTACCTAGATCGGAATCAATGGAACGGCTTGAGTTTAACGCGAGTATGCAGCAAGCTATAGAAGATCATCGCAATTGAGGCGCTACCCGTTGGCTATCGATCGATTCAAGATACACACGTTGCTTGCAGAGCGTTAAACAACCGGGATGACGTTGCAGTTTGATTCATTGTCAACAACGACCGACTCCAGGATATCGAGCACCCAGGAACTGTGACCCTAGTTTGGCATAGTGAGGCACGGTAGCAATTTGAAGTTCATGAACAAATTTGTTTTGCGTTGAATAATCAAAAAAACTGAGTAAGCAGATAGTCAGCAGTAACTTGGTCCTATGCAATTCGATTTAATTTTTTCAATACTGACTCATTGATTATTCACGATCCGGTTTTGATACCCGCCGGACGATGAGGAGGATTTCAAGAAAGAAGCAGAAGCATCGCTCCCAGCTTTCCACCGTGCTTCGAAGCTCGGCCTATGCACCGAAGGGATTGTATCATATCGCCGGTAACTCTCCGGAGTGCTCGTACCTTCCAGATCGATGCGAATAAAACGGAGAGGAAACATATGCTCGCTCGGGGTGAATCGACCTCGTAGGAAAGTAAGGATGGACTATCGGTGTTGCTTGATAAGGCACTAAAACTTTGATGCAAGCATATGGGATCCCCAGTCCGATGTAGGTCGGATACAATGCATTCGTTGCTTTCAAGCCAAGATAAACTTGAGGTGATTAGAATGATTCCAGCTGGTTACGGTAATGCACTTCCTACTGGTTGAACACAAGAAATCTCCTCGGTCGATTGGTAAGCGCTGCTCATGGTCATACCATGCTCATTGTAATGTATATGCCAGCCAATTTACCCGTGAGACCTTCTAAGCCCGAGAACATGCGCACAGGCGATTATGCGTATATGCGAACTGAGAAGTACCATGCAGTTAAGACCCAATGAAAAGCTTCTATACCAGAAAGTGAAGGACGCTAGCAAGGTAGGAATCCATTCGGACGACACTTCGAAAGATAAGCAGATAAGATTAGGGGAGAATGTGATATTCTCGTATCGCAGATAAAGGAGAGAATCCAGACTCGGCATCTAGCCAGAGCAGACTTGAAATCGGAGTTACCGCTGAAGCGCCGTAATAGGGGTAACTACGCTCTCACGACTAGACGTCTAACTTCAGCTACAAATATCATTAATTCTCTTGGTTCGAGTGCTTTCGGAGCGTTCTGGTATGCGTTGAATACGTACGGGCTGACTTCTGGTCAGTTGGGTAGAGCAAGGCGATTCAGCTGCATGAAAGATCCGTATCAAAGCAACCAGTGAGATATTAGATCGCATCTTCGGATATCGACAATGGAGTCGACCTCAAGGCCCGCGTCTTTCTTCGTGCTTCCGGTCGAATTGAATCATTTGTGTGGGAGCTTGCAGAGTGCTGTGGGGCTAGACGGAACCAACACGGTAGTTAAGTCAATGTACCACAAGGCTTCTATACTACGATAAATTTGGGTACTTATCCGTAAGGTAGTGGGCAAGATACATACGTGTTTCCCGAGGAGTGTCGTCGGAGAAAGTTTATGGACGAATCATTACACACAAACAGTATTGCTGTTTTGTCGTCGAAGGAAAACCGAGGGTGAGGACACAGCTGGCCGGCAATCGATCCGAGCATGAGCCGTGTCCGATCAACGTGATCCGCCTCAAGGCGGCTCAATTTTCCAATTTCGGTTTTCTCTCCTCACCATGTTCATCCAACCATTCCCGCCTGGACGCCTCTCGCACCGAGAGACCGAGATAAAGTATAGCGGCTCCTTTCTAGTCGCTTGCGTGCTTTCTTCGCGATCTGATTTATCACAATCCTTATTTCGGAGCTGCATTGGCGAGCGTCTACAGATGCATGTTGACGTGAAGACGAGCTGCGTGGCATCACACGCGTTTAGAACGAGCTTCTGAAATAGGGGAATAGCTTGATTTGTTGTCATACGACTTGGTGGTCGGGTGAAAGAACGGCGTGTGTGTGTGCCCATGCGGACTTCAACGGATGAAAGAAAGAATTGAGGGTTGGCGCGGGTAAGATCTATCCGCATGTTAACAAAATGCATTTGTACGCATGCCGCCAAGGCACATGGAGAGGCTTGTGAAGATTGAAAGGAAGAAGTCCTTCTTCCGATGTTCGTTATACAAAGACGGAGGCTTGGTAAATGCATCGCTTCGGCGTGTGCTGCCATTTTCCAACTGGGACTGGGCAAATACAAAGAAGGGCGATGAAGACGAGCGTCTATCCACGATCTGCGCGGAGGCGTATCATTTCGGATGATCCATGATCCACGACTGATCCATGATTCAAGTTCATTCGCCGAGTCCGATAAATTCGCCGTGTTCAGAACTCGGCGAAAGTCTGGATTGCATGTATTCCGGCGACGGGGTCATCTCATCTAAGCGTGTCCTCCCCATATCAGGGACATAAGGCGACAACGATGCGGATTATGACATTGATATCGGGTGTTATATCCGCATCCGTGTCCATAGGTACCAACAACAAATCGATGACGTCCTCTTCCGTACACAATCCACTGCCTAATGTCGGGATCGGTTCGGATTCTCGGAAGTACGGGACGAGACCAAGCTCTCGAGAGGCATCAATGTGGACTCGCGGCCGCCTGCTGTATACTGCAGAAACCACGAAGTAAGGAATTATAGGTGGAGACGTCGGAAAGTACGTCACGAATACGAGAAAACGCGACTCATGTTCTGTCTATTTTAGGAGGCAGAGGCCATACGGATACATTGCGGGCCAACTCGTGAACAGCAACATTTTCGATGAAGCGCCTCTTATTTGATAAAACGTTCTCTTCAAATCCAGACCGCCCCGCATACATGCGTACGAGGACCTTCTGCTCCAGCTCCGATTACTACTTGTTCATATCATTCGTGACGACTCAACAATTATGAATGCACCATCCTGCTTCGCAGTCATCGCACTTACAATACTTCCGATTCCCGCATTATCATGCCCTACACTATTCGTATGCAGACCAACTTGCGAATCCAGAAGTTAGGCTTAGCTTTGGAATTGGCGATCTGCAATAGCCGAGTCTGGGTGTGATGCCCCAGTCATCTTACGACATCATATCCGACTTGCGACCCCGCATTTGCACAGCATTGACAGAAATTCGGACAGGGTTAATCGTAATAAGTAAGGATGTAAACATGTATGCAGAACACACTATGCCGACAACACTCAAAAATGGGGTTACCTTGCAAGTCTAGAAAATAGGTATTTCTTATATAAAATAACTGCAGCGTTGTCTCGGATCCTGCAAGGATCAGATGCGCATGACTAGCCACGAGGATTACCATTATGCACATGCGTAGCATCATGACTCCAACGTATAGCACTCTAGCTCACTTCTAATCCATCTACGTAGCATTCGAGCAACATCCCTAAGACACGTGCTATCTGCAGTATGCATCTCGAGGACATGCATGATTCAGCAGCTGCAGCAGTTAGGCCTTAGCGCTTGTACGCCCAAATGGTTCCCTGAGTTACGCTTACTGTATCAATGCCGTACGCTGTCAGTGCTTCGAGGTTCTAAAGGCGATCGCCTGATTCCGCCAAAATTAATCAAAGTAGAGTTATGATCCTTATACCGTATACAGGCACTTTATCCGAACTTCGCCGAGCTGGTATGTACGCCGCACTTAGATGCAGCAGATAGATGCGTGAATCATGAAGGTTAAGCGCCTTTGACCTTTGTGGGTATTGCAGCCTAACACCTCAAGTTGGGTCGAGTCATTGAGGCGCTGTTCAAGTTACTTGGTTTGTTCATGGATAGGGGATCAGGGTGTCGATCGGATCTAGAAGTGCGCATCCTCCGTGCTCGTGTTGGGCCATAGGAGTACAACACCAACACGTGTCTTTGTAGAAAGGCCAGTGTGGTATGATTCTACAAAGAACGAAGCGAGGAGAAAGGGCTTGTATTCCTATCTTGGTTAAATGGACCTGTGTGCACTTCTGTATATTCGGCAAATAAAAGCATGATGTTCCGGGCTATGTTTTTTTTTAAATCATAAGTTATGCGCTGTGTAGAAAGGGAGAACTTTGCCTTTCTAACCAAAAAGGCCCATACTACAAATCATATTTGAATACCAAACACACATAGGAAAGAGAAATTGCCTCTGCTTTCTTTGAGTCTTTCTGCCTCTTTTTATCTTCCATCTACCTTGATAAACTCAATCATTATCATTCATGAATCGAACTATCACATAACTCAAAATTAAATCTGATTATTGATACCCTCACTATTTTTACATGGATGTGACCGATCAAAGCTGCTTGTGAGGAAAAGCTGCAGGATAAGGCAAATCCGAGAAACGCACCGAGCAAGACGTTCGGATTCACCTTTTTTGGTTCCGTGGTGTAGGAAAGTAGCCGGATAGGAGGATGGAAGGTTAGGAGGTTGGGTGGACAGGAGGTGCACAGCTACACCCGTGATTTTATGACCTACTGTGTAATGGAAGGGTGCAGGGGGACCGGAGTTCAGAATACATTAGTATATGCTATAAATCTCATTACAGAGACAACATTCGTATGTATGTTGAGTTTACAGCATTTTGATAGTCGGCTTGAGCAACAATACTGCTGTATCAATTATCAATATTGATGATGATAGCAGACATACACACAGATGTTTTTTTATTACACTTTTGAGATCTCCAGGACTTCCGCTACACGACAAACACCGAATAGGAGTATCAACCCAAATCAATCAGTTCACTTCATTTCTTCCAAGCTCTCGATCCAAGACACGCATACGCCGCATTCACAGTATCTCGAGTATTATGTACCTTGCCGAGATGTTCGTGTCCCGTATTTGGGTGGACTCCCAAATAAGTATTTCGAGTCACTCCAGTGAGTTAGGAGGAAGGAGGGATGTGAAGAGTATGCTGTGAACCTTTGATACAACGAAGCTGCGGGCTGAATAGCACCAGGGATCCTAAATAGCTGTGATACCTGATTTTGATGTGCTTCTTTTCTTCATTAAAATCAGCATCTTGTTCTGAAGAAGATTTGAGAGGACTCTGAATTGATATACTATACATAGATAAAAGGAGAAGAAAAGAACAATCGAATATCGAACAGTACAGCGTACTACGTAGTGAAGCGCCTGGAGTATGTTCTATAGCTGTGAACAATGAGTCAAAATAAGTGCACCAAGGAATTCTTTACATAAATAACTCATAGATGTATATGTGGTAGTAAACAAGTCCGAGTCACTCAGGCCAGAAGAATTAGAAATGAATCCAATACTATCCTTGAACTAACAGATAGAGTAGTCTTTCCTCGGCATTGAATGTGAAGAACTACAGAGCCGAGTTCCCTCGACTCGATAACTCAAATGCTAATAGACAGATTAGTATGTTGAGCAAAGATCTCCCTCAGCGTCGGATGTTAGGCACTACAAGCCCGAGGAACACCAACTTCTCTGACTCAAATGCTATTGCCTTCCCAGGGCAGGATTGGAATCGGATCGATGAAAACATGCTCGAGTTTTCCGAGGAGGAGAAACACATGCATACTTACTCAAAATTCAACACGGATGTATGGATAAAAATAGATGTACTTCTTCTGTATGTACATAAAATTTCCTTGCCTGCTGTTTAGAAGAAGTTTTCTCGAAAACAATTTTACTCGTTCGTTCGTTCACTCCTTTATCTTTGCTCTCATCCTTACTGACTGGCTTTTCGTACGTACGTACGTAGCGTAGATACACATCATACCGATTTCCGACCGAAATACAGTTACACAGCATACACACATACATACATACATTCGTATTCGAATATACTAGTATGAACTCAGACCACCTAGAAATTAGAATGAAGAAGTCATTCGATGGGCGAGCGATGATAATGATAATAATGATAATCCACATTGAGTTCATAACTGACGATGATGATGAAGGCGATTCCTTCTGAGCAGAGTGGTGAGTTGCTAATGACTCTACGTTCCGCAGCATAGTTAATTGAGTATGTACACAGAGAATATGTTCAAGCCAAAGAATAGGAATATCCTAATAAGGAAAGAAAAGGTGGAATGGGTGAACTGTATCCATTCCGTAGTCTACCGATACACCGAGTGTATGACGCGTGCCGTAGGCATCGCACATCCGCAGTGCCCGTCACCGCAGCCCAAGGCACCAAGATATCGGACGCAAGTGCGGACGGACAAGACGGAGAGAGATCGCAGCGCAGGTAAGAGCTAATTCCAAGAAAGAGTTAAGATTAAATAGAATAGATTGATGGATGGATGGGATACCCCGCAGTTGAGCGAGCCAGAGTAGAAGGAGACGGTGTAAGAAAGCCGAGAGCTGTGCCGAGCCGATTCGAATACACAGAGAGTCAGTACATGTAGATTAAAAGAGGGCGTGCCGAGAGTGATATGATGGATTGCGCCGAGAGTAGAGAATTGAGAACACAGCCCTTTTTGCATAGATATGTCTTCAAAGGACACGACGATAGGGTCGTCAGGTGTATGTTGATATGTTGAGTATCCCTGGGTACACGTGTTACCGCGTGTTTGTCGTGTTTATTATACACGATCTTGGTGAATGTCTTGATTTGGTGTGCTGCGGCGAGTCTGGGAAAGAGGCTCATCTGAAAGGAAAGAAAGGAGGTTGAACTTGAGTCGCGAGATTAAATTCTAGGTTTACAAAGGGATCTCTGGTCTGCCTGGGAATAGGAGCGAATTAATTTGGTGTGTTGCTGTGCGAGACAGATGAGTCAGGTTGGTTGGTTGAAGAGCACCGAGAGTGTCTTTGAGGAGTCAGCTGGGGTTAGCAAGCGATGAAGGGATGGGCACGGGAACGTGGACGGAGAAATGGAGGACGGATAGCCGGGTGTAGTATGTGTACATGTACGTGGACGTGGGTGCGATGAACATGTTGTTGGATGGGATGAAGATGCGTTGTCAGCAGATATGGATATGGCTCGGCGTATGTGTAAATACGGACACTATTATTATTAGAAAGTTGGTTGTTGTGAGACAGACGGATGTATGGATGGGAGAGTGAGGCGCGTGGGTGCGAGGAGAAGGAGCAGGTGGGAGGGGCGTAGAAAGGGCATAGCAGATAGCCGTAGAAAGGAGCGCGTGTGCTATCGCGAGGCGGGTGTAGAAGGATGGCGAACAGAAAGGCAGAAAGGCAGGAGAAAGGGCCGTCCGAGGATAGCGGAGGGGCGTTGACGATGTTCGATATATGCGCACTACGTAATTGCCCGGCCGGAGCAGGGTCCTTCTATATCTGGAAGTGGATTACGGCCGTGCGCTGCTCTTCTTTCTTTCTGTCCTCATCTCTCCTCAACATTACATAGACGTATATATATATGCAGCCTGAGCACTCACCGCCCCCGCTCTTGTCCTGCTTTCCGCTGTAGCGCTATTTTAAAGGTGAGCTGCCCGCTCCTCCACACTCCCCTGTCAATTGTCTCGCACTCGCCTCTCGCGTCTCCGCGCCTTGGCCTTTGAGTATCCCGTGTGCTGACCACCATGACACGTGCAGTGCTCTCATCCATTGAGATGAACATCCCTCTACAAGTGCAACCACAACATACGCGATCGGGCATTTCACCCGCCTGCTCTCCGGCGCACTCTCCAAAGACATCCCCGCGCCGCTCGTTGACAATCGACGACAACGAGTACCCATATGCATACGATTTCCCTCAGTACACCTACGTGCCTTCCCCCGCGTCCTCCGTCTCTCCTCTCCCGTCCACAAACCCCATCCCTGTCCCGCCTGCATTCAGCCACAAGTCACCCGCCAGGCACTCCGGCTCACAACAATCCAACAACACCCAAGGTCAAAGCCACAGCCGAAGCCGGGATACCATGGCTACCGCAGCAACTGCAGCTCCCACTCACCCACCCTCAAGCGCTCGCTTCGTGCACTCCAGCTACCCGAGCTTGAATACTTCCGTTTATCCGTCTTCATCCACAACTACACCCAACAGCTCCTCGCCCAATCGTGCACGCGGCCCCAGCTTTGCGAGCACCACTAGCTACGCGTCTTCATCGACCGCGTCCTCTTCATCGAGTGCCGCACCTGCTACCCCACCCCGCGCGAACCATATGAACTCACCTACCGTTGTCACCTCGCCGACGCGCACCTTTCGACCTTACTGGGAGCGCGAGCGCGTGGCAGACGAAGATAGTTGCAGGCTGGATGAGGCGGCGGAGCACGGTCTCCCTCACGCTGTCGATGATGAAGAGGATAGCTCCGATGACGAGGTGATCTACGGCTTCGACGAGCGTCGGAACTCGACTGCGAGCGCGGACTTCACGCGCTACATTTCTTGCATCTCACCCTCACCGCTCTCCAACGCGAGCAGGAAGCCGCGCTCCGTACGCCGCTCGCCGTTCGCGGATGATAACCCCGCGTCACCGTACACACATGTGTACCTTGACGATGACTTGCCACACCCTTACGGTAGTCTAAGCGTGACTGCGAGAGCAGCGTCGCCCGCCGCCGTCGCTTCACGTCGGCTTTCTGGTTCGGGTTCGATCAAGCGGAGGAGCGTAGGGACGGACTCACCTCGGAGCGTCGCGCGCTCTGTCTCACTCTCCCACTCAAATTCTTATAGACGATCGAGTCCACATCGTGCTCACTCACCGATTATCAACGTTAGCGGCTCGTCATCGCGTCCGCACTCCCCTTCGCCGATGGCACCCTCTCTTGTTCTGTACTCTCACTCATCATCGAATTCGCAGAACACCCACTCCCATGCGAATTTGAACGAGCCTGTGAACAGTCACTTACATTCGCATTCACCTTCGCTCGATTTACCAGACCAATCGATCGAACTCGACTCCTCACCGCTCCGCACTGCGCTGCTCCTCAACCCCGAGCCAGACCTTACAATCACGCGTACAAGCACGCTCGAGCAGCAGCTCCAACATCAGGAGGCAGCTGAGCGTCGGCTTTCGGCTGGTGGTGTTGGTCGCACTCACACCAACGGCACCAGCGATCTCGGGTTGGGTGGTCTTGGATTAGGTAGTGGTTTCGGATTGGTGGGAGGGATTAACGCTGCGCTGCAGAGGAGGAGAGCGGATTGGAGGGAGTTTAATGAGGGTGATGATGACGATGCTCCGACAAATGCATTTGGGCGCGGTGCGCTCAACTTGCATCTTGACGCGGATGAGGAGGTGGATGTGGGAGGTGTTGATCTTAGCTCTCCTCGTCCGTCGTTCTCGCACCCGCACCCTTACGGACGCGTTTCTTCGAGTGTTGTACGCTCGCGAGTAGGGGCTGATGAGGAACGCGAAGAAGTTTCGAAGGAGGAAGAATGTAGAGAGAAGGAGGGGAACGAATCAAATGGTGCTGAAGAGAGGAGAGAAGAAGGTGATGAGGTGCCGACGTGTTCCGCCTTCCGATGGAGCGTTCGTGCGAGGTGGGCCGCGTTGAAGTTGAAAGTGCGGTTGAGCGCGTTTAGGGCGAGGAAGAGGGTTGGGTTGGCGTAAATCGACGTCGAAACGAAATCGAAATTTAAAGACGAGGAGATAAAGGAAAGAAAGGGACGAAGAAGATAAACGAAAAATGTGTACCACCATCGCAATCACCACTACCACCACCACCAGCATTCATACTCATTGACGCATACTCAACACATCTTCTCGCAACGCAAACGCAATTGGCTTTCAGGCTTACACGCACGAATTCACGTCTCTTCACGATCTCTTTTTTCTCTCTCCTTGCAATTTTCTGGCTTTTCGTACATGCACTTTTCACTTTTTTTTCTCATTTTTTTTTTGCAAATTTTCTTGTCTATGCATGCATCCTTTCGTGTTTTCTTGGTTTCTCGGTTGGACCATTTCTCACATTCTCCATCATCATTTGACGCAATTCACGCACTCTCTCGCCTACACGATTTACACTTTTTACATGCGGATTCTGACGGATTCTTGCTTTCTTGGATAGTCTTTGCATTTCTTGACGCATTTTGATTTTCACGCGTTCAACCGTTTCGCGACTTGTACATGACCTTTTTTACTGATTCATTTATCGTTCCTCTTTTCTTGTTTACTTTTTTTTTTGCTTTTACTGGTCTGACGTCTTTGATGACGCTTCAGGTTCATCCCTCATTCTCACATTCATATTCTCGCTCCCACCCATTTGACCTGATTGCAAGTTGCAACCTCACCAAGCCGAGATTGCTCCATCTTACTCCATTTGTCCACATTTACACGCATACATACGTGTATACAGGCATGTTCCTTTAGCTTTAGATAGATATGGAGAAATGAGAAATTGTGTAAAGATTTAAAGATTTGAATTTTTTGTTGATGGATGACTTCATGAGTGATTTCGCTCGCTGAACCTGACTTCAATCCACTTGAATACGTTGAATCTTTGAATTTGTTGAATTTGTGTACTGAATTCGAGATTCGTGTAGATGATCGTATACAGGGGTGATGTCATGTTGACGTCCCTCCTTCCACTATACTAGAGTGGATTCTTGGTGTGCTGAGTTGATTTCCCTACCTACCTTGGAACAAGATCAGCTCTTTCTTCTCTTGGAATATTGGAGTAGAGAGGAGGCATGCGTGGTCATGTGCCAGCATGTGCACAGGGATATCGTAATCGTAAGGTTCGAGCATTGTAAAAGAAGTAAGTCAGCCATCCGAGCCGAGAATACGTCATAGCGTTCGACTTGTGCAATCTATCATCTATCTGTCTCCAGAATGAAGTGGAATGGCAATGACATGGATAATGACTCGGTCGGACTCGACCCGAGTCCGATCCCGAGTCGGGAGACTTTCCGCTCATTCTACTCTACCCAATTCTATTCTTCCTTCCTTCCTACAGGTGGATGTTATGCAGAGCCAATCGGATCTTAGTATGTATGTTTTGCACGTATGTATGTATGTACGGCATATGGGTGTGGAAGGGAGGAGTCGGAGCGTATCGGGATGTGTGCTACTTATCTGAGTAAGATTCCAAGACCTTAGAGGATAAAAAATGTCTTAGCAATCATACTGTGCATAGAACTCTCAAAGATACATATGATGTATAAGCCGAATGCAACAAGTGCATTATTAATCCTACTTTTCTTGTCCTGTATGTAAATGAGTAAGAAAGAATCACCTGCAAGACAGGAACAAAGATTATAGTTATGTTATAGTATGTTTTATATTTTGCAATGAAGATTGCTTGGCTTGAACGTTACATTTATTAGCATAAAAACACAACTATGTATTCTGTACTTACAGAAAGCTGTCAACGTGAGGAGAATGGGAGAGTGTCCTGACAGTAGGTGAAGACAGTGGATTCAAAGTTCGGACAGGCATCCAATTGGATGCATACTGCAAACATACACAGAGAGACATTCCTCAGTGTTGGTGAGAGTAGATAAAGAAGAACTGGTGAAGAAGCTTTAAGCTTGGGAAATTAATGAGTGTTTAGAGTACAGACGATCGGTCTTGACAGACGGAAAAGCCCCAAATTTGTAAATAGTAAAGACGCAATTCAAAAATCTCGTGAATGTCTACAATAGAGACGCAGTGCCACTTGGGTAAAGAGGCGTAACTGCCGAGGATATGAAAAAGCTGCTAAAGCTTCGTTGGACGTCCGAGGACTAAATAATGAATGTCGTCGACAACTGAACATTTAATAAATGGTTGCTAGTCAAGCATGCTTTAAGCACGTTTCGCCGACTCGGAGAAGAGACCCACCAGCGTGAGACCGAGAAACCGAGAAACATTAAGAAAAGAAAGACAAGACGAATTCAGAGTGAGCGTAACTGCGATTCGGTGTGTGTAGCTTGTTTACACACACAACGTCCGAAAGTTAGCCCAAAATCATCCTGGAGGAGATCCACTCGGTGCGAATGACCGCACGAAGAAAGGAGCTTGGATGTGAGAACTGAAGGGAAGGGGGAACGTATTCGTTTCTATCCTTCCACGACTTTGCCATACTCGCTGAGATCCACTATGGAGAGAACAAGAAGTGGACTAGACAACTACCGTAGTGTATGCGGGGCCATGTGAATACACAGGGGAGTGAATCCCAACTCACGTCCAACCTTGAGAATATTCGGAGTGTTGTGAACACAAAAGCTTTGTTGCTAGTCCAAAATGCCGAATGATCTTCAGTGAAAATATAGCTTAACTTAACAATATATGCGAAAGTAGACTGGAGTGGAGGATTTGCACTGAAGGCTGACAACAAGAGCTTAGTATTGAGGTGCCGAGCAGTCTGTTTCCTGCCGATAGAGACTTACGGACGACAGCCGGATGTGCTCCGCAGAAACCGGTCAAAAACCTCCATCACCCGAACCAAAGAAGCACCTCGGAGTCGGAGCAGAGAACATCCTAGTAAGATTGGGATCTACGCAAGTTGGCCAGTTTATAGATGGCGACGGGAGAAGCACGAGCACACAAGGCACGGTCTTTCTAACAGATGAGGGCGAGGCTGGTCTGGGCGGCCTCATTGACTGATGATCACCGATCAGGCCCGAGTAGAAGTCAATGTAGAGCAACTGCTATTGAAAGCTATACAAATGTAGACCGATTCAGGAGATTCGTATCAATAGCTGTCTCTCCGTGTTGTTCGTAACTTTGAGAGGAGCCTAGTCGGTCTTTGCGGTGACCAGGATGCCTTGCTTGACAGACGGACTCCCAGGACAGCAAGAGCGAGGTCAGAGTAGCCGTTGGCCTGGATCCAAAGCCTGAGAAGCAAGACATCGAGAGTTCAGTAGATCCTCTCGAATACAAACTGTGCAAATTTGTCGTACTTAGCACATAAACCGGCGAGTGATTACCGTCATTCGCATCGATTCTATATCCGAACGCATATGAACACGGAGATTTTCTTCAATATCACGCGCTGATCTTATCACTGATCCGACTGTTAAGTTGTCTAATAATAACTATTCTGGCTTCGTAATGCATGTTATGGTTAGAAGTGGGTAATAACAGTTAGAATAAATAATCACCTTTCTTTTGACCTCCGTTCGTTGTATCCAGCAATGGTAAACGAGTTTGCACATGATATTTATGTGCTTCGATTCACCAGCGGATGCAAATTTTTCGAAATATTTTGATTCCGCTATGAAGGAAAATTGGTGACAGCAGGCATGAAAGCGCGTTGAGGCCGGTCATGCATATCCTTCGCCGAACTGCGTGCCTGAGACCGGAATGAAAGGAAAAACTAATTCCGGAATGGGGAGTCAAAAGTCTTCATCCATTTACTTCCCTGTTCGAGACGTCGGCACGATCAGTACGGACAGTGAGTTCTTGCCATAGAGACCCAGAGAATCGGCTAGAAAGACATGCCACTAACAATATCAGGATGATTGGTGTACCTCGGACAACATCGGAGAGGATGGGAAATGAGCCTTTATTTGTATCCCAAGACAAGAAGACACCTGTCCTGTGAAGAACGTTGTGATGGAAAGTAATCAAAGATTATTCTGTAATGTATTTGTAAGTGGAACAGCAGTGCTATTGTCTCCGCAGAGCGTGCAGACGTCTGCAATAATTTCAAGGTTTGTTAGGAGCACGTGCTTAGCCGAACAGTCCGGACGGAATGAGCGAAGATGACATAGGGAATGCAGACAGACTGAAGAGCAGACAAGAACGTTAGCATGTGCCAACAAATTTAAGACACACCTGTCTTAGTTGCAATAATGGCAACTCGAAAGGCTTTGGATATGATATGGAATGATTTTTACAATTAAACGTATGGACGTGAGGAACGAGACTAAACCTCGTCGACGAAGAACTCTTCAAAGCAGGAGTTATCCGGGACATTTTAGCACGTGATAATTGTATCACGTGCCTTAGCTTCGGATTTCTGTATTGTATGTTGCATGTACGCTTTCTGGCATTAACTCTGGTGAATACGGTCAACTCATCCTCACTGACGTCAACGTCGATATATTTCTATCCTGAATGTTCCTGTGGCTTTCTATTCATGCAACGGGAAAATATAAACGCATCAGCGCACTACGTCATGTCTATTCCTCCACCTTGAATCTTCAAAAATAGCAAAGTGTATAGACTGCGCAAGGCTATCATCATGTCCCTATGGATAGGATGATATCATCGGAGGCTCGTCAAATTAGCAAAGGCGATGCGTATTAGGGCATCTATCCTACTCATCACACCACAGCTCTTGCTAGAACGTGCCATCAAAGAGCTGTGTAAGGCGCATCAGGTCGACAAGGACTCGCATATGATTCTTGACTCCCCTGATTTATTATTGTACCATTGCAGGGATATTTCAGAATACAGGGCTCATATCTCGAGTTTCTGTGTATGATTGCCTTAAGGCATGCGGCGGTTAGGAACTTGTCAGCATCATCATCCACCCTAACAACAGACAAGTCTACTCACAGGATTTCTTGGGCTTCCTCTCGTATATCTCTTACATCATTGTGTATGTACTCTCACGTTCATCAATATACAGTATTCTGAGAATTCTCACTCAACCCCTGTCTGTGTACGGATCCAAACCTCATGTGAGGACCAGCGTCAGGAGTTGTGCAGTTCCTCGGGATCTCGATCTTCTCTTAACTGGATGGGGAGCCTTCTCCACTCAGGATGCGCTTCCTAGCAAGACTGCGATAGTAACAAGCACCTCAAGAGCATGTATATCACTGCCTCCATGCATATGCATCTTCGATCGAATCTAACGTATAATAAATTATTATATGTTTTGCTCTAAACATATTTACAAGTATAGACTGGGGCTGAGATTAACGACTAACAACAGTACAATGCAGAAGATGTTCTTCATATTAGTCACAAGCTTATGCAGGGAAGAGCGCGTTGTAGGGATAAACCCCAATTTCGATTCCAGAACCAAGGCTGTGAAGGCACCCAGACAGGATACACGATGTTGTTGCCCCCAATTTTTCGATGGCACAGAAGATTGGATGCCGTCGTAGCAAGGGTTATCTCGGTTACAGGCGGCAGTGGTACGCATATTCGTGGGGCATCATTAAAGGCGAGAAGCTGCATTATGCAAAGAGCGACTCGGATTCGACGCTTGCTTCCGGTTTGCCTTGACAGCATATTTGAGAAGATGTAATAAATGAATTATTCCGTATACTCTCGTATTCATGACGTACTATGTTGATTCCTCCAGGTGCTTCTCGTCCTCACATCCATGTACATGAATGCTTGCAGGTAAACACAGACTTCCGTTAAACTGTCCAGGTCCGTTCATCCGAAGTCGAATTTGAATAAAGCGACGGGGAGTGCGATTGTTGTATGCAAGAGGACGTCATAGATTCCACCACTGCCATCTATTTTGGCTAATCATCTGCAGATAGAGGCATTTCGCTCTACTGCAACCGGACAGCTGGTGCGGTGTGCTCATGATATTACACTTTCGCCGGAGGCATGCAGGCGTTCGGCGAGTCTTAGTTCTTGCTCGCCAACATACTGGCGACTTTATCGACGAATGATCATGAATCATGAATCAGGTTCTCCGTACTTCAGTAGTCCCGGTTGGAAAAAGGTAGTACACGCCGAGGCGACACGTTTACCAATCCTCCGCTTTTTGTATCGTGAGCATCGGAAGAACTTCTTCCTTTCAATACTTGTGAGCCCCTCCGTGTGTTTGGATACACATTTTGCCTACATGTAGAGAGATCTTACCCGCGCCTACCTCACTTCTTCCTTTCATCCGTTGAATTCCGCATGGACATGCACGCCATCCTTTTATCCAACCATCAAGTAGTATGAAACCAAAACAAGAAAATCCCCTATTTAAGAAGCTCGTTCCTAACGCGTGGAGTGCCACGCAGCTCGTCTTCGCGTCAACATGCATCGCTAAACGTTCGACAATGCAATTCCGAAGAAAGGATTATGATAAATCAGATCACGAAGAAAGTACGCAAGCACCTAGGAAGGTGCCGTTATACTTTATCTCGGTCTCTCGGTGCGAGAGACGCGCAGGCGTGGCAGACGCGAGGAAAGTATGGATGAACGTGGTGAGGAGAGAAAACCGAAATTGGAAAATTGGGTTGCCTTGAGGCGGATCACGTTGATCGGACACGGCTCATGCTCGGATTGATTGCCGGCGCGGTTCTCCTCGGTTTTCCTTCGACGACAAGCAAACAATACTGTTTTGTTGTGTAACGATTTATCCATGAGCTTTCTCCGACGACTCTCCTCGGAAAACATGTATGTATCTTGCCCACTACCACACGGATAAGTACCTAAATTTATTGTCCTATAGAAGACTTGTCGTGTGTTGACTAAACTACCGTGTTTCGCCCGTCCAGCTCCACGGCACTCTACAAGATTCCACACAACTCGACCACAAGTGCGAAGACGACGCAGGCCTCGAGGTTGACTCCATGCTCAGTATCCGAGGATGCGATCTAATATCGCGCTGCTTCTATTGATATGGATCGTACATGCAGCTCACTTGCCTTGCTCAATCCAACTAGCCAGAGGTCAGCCTGTAGGTATCCAATGCATCCAGGGTGCTCCAAAAGCATTCAGAAGGCGCGAACTGATGATACCCGAAGCCAAACTTATACGTCTACCGTCGTGCCAGCTTGATTACCCCTACTGCGCTGGTTCAGCGGTAACTCTGATTTCAAGTTTGCTCTGGCTGGGTGCCGAGTCTGGATTCTCCCCGTTATCTGCGATTTGATCATATCACATGTTGTCCTAATCTTATATCTTTATCTGTCGAAGTATTGTCTACACGGATTCCTAACTCGCTGCTACCCATGTGGTCTAGTATGGAAGCTTTTCACTGGACCTTGACTGCACAGTACCGCTCACTTCGCATATACGCATTATCACCTACGCGCATGTTCTGGGGCTTAGAAGGGCTGGTGAGTTAATACGGTGGAGTATAGATTACAAGGATCACGATGTGAACTTGAAGGATGCTTACCAATAAACGGAGGAAATTCAACCGGTGTGGAAAGTGCATTCCTGTAGCCATCTGGAATCATTCTGAACACCTTCAACTCATCCTAGTCGTCGGAAAGCAATACAGTACATCCGACCCATATCGGACTTGAGATCCAATAAGCCTGTATCAAACCTTTAGTGCGTTATCAAGCAACACCGATAGCTCGTCCTTACTTTCCTACGAGGCTGATTCACCCCGAGCGAGCATATCTTTCCTCTCCGTTTTGCTCGCATTGATCTGGAAGGTACGAGCACTCCGGAGAGTTGCCGGTGATATACTACAATCCCTTCGGTGCATAGGCCGAGCTTCGAAGCACGGTAGTAAGCTGGGAGCGATGCTTCTGCTTCTTGAAATCCTCCTCATCATCCGGCGGGTATCAAAACCGGATCGTGGATGGTCAATGAGTCAGTATTAAAATAATAAAAAATGAATAGAATTTCACAGAGCTATGCTGCTGCTGACTGTCTGCTTGCTCAGTTTACTTGGTTATTTATCAGAGAAAAAAAATCTTCACGAACTTCCTTTTTTCACCGTACTTGACTATGTCGAATGAAGAACGTGGTTCCTGTATGCTCTGTGCCCTGGAGTCAGTCATTGTTGGCAATGAATGAACTGAAACGTCATCCCGTTTGTTCGAAGTTCTGCAAGTGACATGTGTATCTTTAATCGATCGATGGTCAACGGAAAGCGGCTCGATCGCGACGATCTTCTATAACCTCCTTTCGGCATACTCGTGTTAAATTCAATCCGTTGTAAAGATTCCAATCCAAGTAGATGAACCCGTTCATTCACAAGGTCATGGCCAAAACCCAGCGAGGTCAAGTGGATCCTGCGAGACTGTTGTCGTTGTCATTGGGCGGTGAACGATCCATTATTTCCCAAACATAAAGTCAATCAACATATTTGTATTATCTAATCGGGATGAGATCGTACAAAATAAAAAGCTTCGGGAGGCGAACGTTTTAATTGATGAGAACTTAAAATTGCAGATGCAAGTCTGATCCATAATAGCTAGTAAATGACTACTTAACAGCATCGAAAGAGAAGATTCATGATGGGATGAGCCACTCTCAATCCAACCAACTAATTGTTCGGACTTTCCCGGATGATAGTTTTTGATCCAAAGATTGCTACCGTGACAATTACGACAAAATGTCTGTTACTTACACTTTACAACTTTCTCAAGATGACGCTAGTTGGAGTGTTATCTTTTCTCCTGTAGCTGCCAGTGCATGTTACTTACTGTACTCAATCACTGATGAATTCAGCATGTATGCTGCTCGGCCTCTGCTCTGTCCAATTAAACTGTTTACCTGCATATCTTCAAGTCTTCAAATATCCAATTCTGCATCCTCCCATTAGAAAAAGCTGGATGCAGCGTTTCTAGGCGTATGAACAGGTTTGAGTTACTACCGCAGGTGACATCATGTTGATGCAATTTCATTTATTTGAGTACTCATTAAAGAGTGCATCTTCAACGTCAGGCTTGGGACTGTGGCGAGACGATACCCTTTTCCACGTCCGTCGATTCATAGAATCGCCTGCTAATGTTTCTCTTTCCATATTGCAAGGCATTGGGCCTGGATTTTTAATAGACAGGCGTGAATGATGCCCTTCTGAATTTGATTCGCTATCATATCAATTACCGAGCCTTTGGAAGGAGAAGCAAGTTACAACGGCCCTATACGCATGAGGAGGCCCTTGCAAGCACCTTGTGCATGTCCTATTTCTCATTTTCACAATCTTCTGAATTAATGCATGATTACTGTTACAGAAAGGCAAATCCTTTTGTGTCGATTTATAGTTGCTATATCATGGATTGTGCCGAGAAATACGGGCCCTTTTCTCCTCGCAGCCTTCCATGCCATGACACATATATGGTCGTTCCCACCGGCTCCGTGGAACTCGGTACGCTGCCAGGGTTGTTTTTCCGGTATCATGTATGCAGTAGATTTACTGTAAGTGCATAAATAGTGCATAAATATTGTGCAGTATCTAGAACTCGTCTTCCAGTATCTTCTGAACTAAACTTGCCTAGGTGTAGCATTATATATCATGGTTGCTAAAGCTGTTATCTGCTTTGCTCTCTTCGCCAGTACAATTTCAACCACGTTTGCAGCTAATGATACTGCTCCCCGGTGAGTAAATTATGCACGAGTTCCTTCTTCACAAGCTTATTTCAGTATTGTCAAAGTCGCTGTGGCACTACAATCTCAAGAAACGAATCGAATACTATCGAGGCCAGCTTCCAGGCGTCGCTCACGGAGCAGAGTCAGATCACAGCAACGGATTCAGAAGGAAAGACGATTAACGTGTATTGGCATGTTATATCCGAAGGCGACGATATTGGCAGTGGAAATATCCCGTGCGTCTCACCTTCGGTCCTTTTGATACTAGTCATTGTGGTGTTGACAACAACGAAGTGACTCGCAGATAAATGATCAAATCGATGCCCTTAATCAAGGCTTCTCTGGAGCGAATATAACATTTGTCCTTGCTAATACAACTCGCACAATAAACTCTGATTGGTTCAGAAACGCGGGCTTATTTGACAATGGGACAGTAACACCGCAAGATCACGAAATGAAGCAGGCGCTTCGCCAGGGGGGAGCTGGTGATCTTAACGTGTACAGTGTCAACTTTACGAACACAGAGGATCTGCTTGGATATGCACCATTTCCTGCTTGGTATTCCAGTGATCCTGTTGGTGATGGTGTTGTGATACTCTTTTCCTGTCTTCCTGGAGGTTCTGCACCTGGATTCAGTGAGGGAAAAGTAGGCATCACTTTTTTATATTGTTAAACGGTTATATTAAATTAACAATTCTTAGAGCCTTGTACACGAAGTCGGCCATTGGACAGGACTATATCACACTTTCGAGAATGTATGTACTACTAACTACGGCTACTATGCACCTTGGATTTACCTGTCTGTAGGGATGTGACGAACCTGGGGACAGAGTATCCGACACGCCCCCAGAAGCCAGCTTTGCTTCAGGATGTCCAACCGGACGTAACACCTGCCATGAATCTCCAGATCTCCCGGATCCTATCCGTTCGTACATCCCTCTTATAATAAATATTCAAAGCTCACCTAATTCCCCAACAGACAATTACATGGATTATACGTTGGATGAATGCTTGACCGAGTTTACTGAAGGCCAATATAAGCGACTCCTGGAACAAATTAGTGTTTACCGTGGCATTTGAAGATACTTCTAGCCCGTGGATATGCTGATTTGGAGTCAAGGAGTGCATCATACATAACATTAATATCGACTTCAGTATTGAAAAGTACCATTGTCTAAATCGGGTTGAGGTACTTTTTGTCTTTATATTGACGAAGTCCCACTAGACAGCTGGTATTGTAAATGCAGGAAAAGAACCCTCAAACTCAAAGTGCTTGATATGGAAGAATGCACACTTCTCAACTCAGACTGTTCAACGCTACAAACCTTGCCACTTAATTTGCATCTGTCCACTGGTGTGCAAAGTTTGCATATGCATCTATATAAAAGCAAGGTATGTGGCCGCTTCCTCCAGGTAACTGCTACAGAACCATCACTACACGAAGCCGAAATTGAAGCACGAGCAATGAGCGAAGCAGGACGTCGCAGGTCAGTTTCAACTAGGGATAGATCATTACAGAGTGGATTAGACATAGAAAGCGAGTATACCGGAATATTGCGCCGTATAGATGAATATCTTGAACGTGAAGAGAGGAAAGACGAAGAAAGGCGTACAATTGAAAGTATACTTAAAATGAGTGAAGCAAGACTAATTCGTCATAACATAACTCGGAGTCTGCTTGGTGAAGCTACCACAAAGGACCTCAAGGAATGCCTTGACGAAATGATAAAGCGATGTGAACCTGAACAAGTACCTAAACTGAATAAAGTTCTGGACGAAATATCTGGAATGATCAGCGAAACGTCAAAGGTAAAGGGAGATTTTAGCTATTGGCGAGGGCTCTGGGCGAAACAAAAAGCGAAGAACGGATCAGATAGAACAGCAACTGAGAAGCTAGTCCGTGAGATGAAAGAGAAGTTCAAAGAATACAGTCAGGAGAGAATTTAAGATACTCGGTAACTCATACGTGACTGGCGGCACGTAGTAATTTTGGTGCTAAACAAGACATGCACAGTACTCAGATTGTTGGGATAGATAGTAATAACAGTACATTGAGGATTTCACTAGAAAGAACTTCCATCAGTGCCGGACAGAAACATATATTATTATGACGCTTACTGTTAAGCCTTTATCATGATTGGTATACAACTCAGGAATGCCATACTATCAGACTTGACAGGAAGGTCTTCGAGGATGTACGGCGGAGAGTCCTGTAGTCGATCTCTCACCGATGCAAACGAGAACTATAGAAGTTATCTCTTTCTTACAAGAACCACCTACCACCCTCCCCAGGATTATCCGACGTTGATACAAGATTTGCATTCAGCTGAACACATGTGTAATGGGTACAAACTGTGTATTGAGAATATAAGAACAACTAGTCAATCTTAGCTAGTATGCTGTGAGTCAGACAAATCTGGCACCACCGTCGACCTCGATTCGTTGACCCGTAATATACCCACACCTACAATTAAAAGATATTGAGCACAGGCGTGAGGAGAAGGAGAATTCTAGCTTACTTCATGAGGAACAAGTATGCCTCAGCAACTTCATCTGCTTCGGCAACATGTTGCACTAACAAGGACCTTGCAGTGTCATCAAAGATTTTATCTGGATCTGGCAGGACACTGTCCCAGAACTGTGCGTTCGCACGAGACAAAGGAATAGCAAAGCTGTTTATTACTCTCTTGAGGCAAGTTACAGGATCTGGTAACACTGACCGTGGTGTTCACCAGACCAGGACTTACAACATTCACTCGGACGGGTGCAAGGTCCACTGCGAGTCCGCGAGTGAGCGAATCAACAGCTCCTGCCACTCCCGCCATGAGTGACCATCCTTTACGTGGTCTTACGATGCCTCCACCAATTGTCAATGTAATTGATCCTCCTGAGCGTATTCTAGCGACCTGTGCGGCTGTGAATGCTCCCCAAAAGCGCACGTCAAATGCATCTACGTTGTATACTTATAAAGCCTTCAAGATTGGCCAATGCGAGTTAGAGGTGCGTACCGTTATGCTCGTCAAGATTTAAGCGCGGAAATCCGGCGCGAGGCGGGTCACCGCCTGTCCATACTAGATGGTCTATCTCACCGACCCATGCAAACAGGGATCGTATAGAAGAAGAATCCCTTGCGTCAACCACCTCACCCGAGATATTTCCTTCTACAGGAACGTCTGCAGTTGCAAGCTCAGTCGACAGCCTCCTAAGCGCGGCTGTTACTTTCTGCTGCGACGATGAGGCAATTATGACGTGCGCAGCTTGAGAGAGAAGAGCAGCTTTTGCTACTGCAAAGCCTATTCCCGAAGATCCCCCGATGACGAGTACAGTCTTGCCCTCAAGAGTTGCCATCGTGTAGTCTAGTAGAGGAGGTTGAGAGAGACAACTAGGGGCGTTGAAACCTGCGCATGTGTGGCTTAGCGAAACTTAAGAGACCGAGGACGTGAGTGTATTGGGTGCATAAATTCATATTCATGAGAAGCCGGCGCTGTTGGTAGTCATGAACTAAGCATTGCTGATGCCACTCGCCGTGAATCCGGCCCATTATCTATCGTGGGAAAATAATGATCTGCATCATAGCAAGCAAACTTACTGTCACAGCGCCCCTTGCAGTCAAGACCCACATGTGGACACTTTTACTATTTTCCCCTCAATTCTTGCTCAAACTTCATAAAATTTTGTAGTTATGTAGCTTAACATCTAATAAATATATATTCAAAATTTTGAGTTAATATAATGAGCAGAAAACAAGTTATTATACTTACAATCCGAAGAGTACAAGAAATTAAGCTTTTGGAGTGAACCAAACGCTTTCCCACACAATGAATACTTTATAATAATTTAAATAGTCAATATTTTGAGCTATAGTTCTGTACAATTGTGTACTAGTATATTTTTTATCAGTATATTTTTTTGTAGAAGTCTCTACAAAGTTTTAAGTAAGTTACAAGGAATATTGCTGATAGTATAATTTTGATAAATTAGAAATCCAAATTTACTAATCTCTAACTTCATAATTTTTTATACACAGTTCTACTTTGATAATCTATAAGATAAAGTTAGTATTTATATTTATATAAGTTAGGAGTATATATGTACTAAATATCATAGCTTAAAATTAAAAATGTAAATTGTACTAGGTTATTATTTCTACAATTGTAAAAATTATAGTTATTACAAGTATTAGTAGTAAGAATAATGCTATTAATTTTTTTTAAATGTAAGTTCTTCAGAATAAACAGGATCAGGTGTATTATAATATTATAGCTTTGATAACTAAAGGAGAAAGAAATAAACATGAAATAAAGGAGGAAGAACTTGATTAGTATTTATATAAAATAGTAGAATATGTATAACTTTATAAGAGGAGAGATTTCCAAACAAACACAGTAGCTCAACTCTCAGAAGAGGAAGGATTATACTCTATACTAGAACTAGTATACACTAGAAGTTAGGGTTGAGTGAGAGTGAGAGATAGAGGAGAGTGTAAGAGAGAGGTAGTAGAATATAATTAAATAGTTTATAATCATTATATTAAGCCTGTTCCTGTAATTTTGTTAGTCAATAAACTTCAAAAAACAAATAGAATATAATTACTTCTGTTTCCTATTCAAAATATTCTAGATAGAGTCAAAATTGAGTTTGTGTACTGAGAATATGTACTTAGATATAGTAGGCAAATTCCTTTTCTACAGAGTGTCTGTTACAGTTCTCTACTCTTGTACCTTCAGTTCTAAGGGTTCTACACCCTTCTGTACCAGAACTTGGGACTTCTGTCCCTCAGAGGCACTGTATATAGACTATATGTATGCTGACTCTTACTACTACCCCTCCTTACTTTATTATTCCATTCCTTTGACTACTCTTTCATTCTTTGTTCATTCTATAGTCTCTTACCCTTTGTCTATCCCTTCATTCTTTGTACCTTTATCTTTGACCTTCCTTTCTTTCATTCTTCATGACTTATCATTCTTAGTAGCTCATACTCTCTGAGTACTCTTGTATAGTTTAGTATATATAAGTATACAAGATCAGACTAGTCTAGTAGTCTTGATCTTGTCTACTCTAGATAGTCCTGTACTCTTAGACTTACTCTATATACTCTACTCTTGTCTCACTCTCTCTCTCTGTCTGTTCTACAAGTTCTGACTACATTCTAGTACTTGTATTCTGTATTTCTGTTATGTAAGATAGTTGTAGCCTGGGTCCCCTTACTAAGCCTTCAGGTCCCCTCTATACTGTTACTAACATTAGATTAAGACTACTCATTACTACCCTACAACTCTCCTACATTTTGAGTATTAGTACTTACTATTGTATTAATCTCTTTTCTTTGTCCCAACCCTTTTACATTTCTAAATTTTAAACTTTCTAAACCCTTTTAAACTTTTACTACCTTTCTTCTATTTATTACCCCTTTTAGTGTAGTACTGATTCCTTTATAGTGTAAACATGGACCCTCCTACACTAACTGCCACCCCTACTGTTCTGCTAGATTAGTAGTTACAAGCAGACCTAGCTTAATACATGTAGACCTCTATCTAAGAGGCCTTTACTAACTACATACCTTTAGCTCTCTCAGAACCTGTTCTAATTGTTCTAGAAGTCACAACCTGTTCTAGAAAGAAAGTGTATATAGTCTGCCCTTTGAACTTTAATAGGTAGTACTTTAAGGACTTCTAGTACTAAGTCAAACTATATGTAGCTACTACTTTAACTAATCTATCCTTAGATCTTAATTGTGTCCTATTTGTCCTCCTCTTCATAAAGGAAGGTAATACAGCCACCTGGGCCTAGAACTAGATTAAAGGCTATCAGATTAGAAGTCTGATCTGACTTCAGAACAATGAGTTGTATTCAGAATTCATGAGACAGCTTTGTACTTCCTTTATTAATCTGAATAAGAAGTATAATGTACAGAACAAGCTTGTATCTCTGTAACAGAGCAAACATTCTACTAATACCTTCTTTCAGGAGTTTAATATCCTGGCCCAGAAGGCAGGATTTGTACTCAGGTTTAATAATGTTCTTATTAGAATACTTGAAAAAGCTCTACACCTGGAACTGGTTGATAAAATTCTCAGAATAATACTAGAACTGATTACTTACACTGAGTAGAAGACACACACTATTTCCTTTAACTAAGCTGTAGCTTGAATGTGTTAAGTCTATACAGAACACTTACACATGTGTCTAACTCTAACAGTTCTAAGCCCTTAGATCAATCCACCTGTAATTTGTAATCAATCCATTCTGATAGACATTAGAGAAGCTCAAAAGTAAGAAGTATACTTTACTTACAGAAAGTCAGGGCACCAAATTAGGGACTGCCTATAGAAGTAACAGTATATCTGTTAGGTCATTAGAGTAATAATGAGTGACAAGCAGGATTTGTAGTAAGAAGCCTTTTCTACAAATCTAGAAGTTACCTTAGAACTCTTAAACCCTAACTATATATTTTAGGATTTTGTAAAGGCCTAACAGTAAATGTAGTACTGAAGGGCTATGACTCAGATTTTTTAACAGCCACTTTTGATTCAATAGACACTGTAGAATTAGAAGTAAATAAAGTAAGAAAAGCAGAAAAAGTAGAAAAAGTAAATTAACAAAATTATTTATTAAAAAGAAAAAAGTTGAAAACAAAAGTAGATAGTTCTCTCATTTCTTCTGATTCTTTTGATTCTTCTCTTTACACTTTATTCAAGTCTAAATCTGTACAATCTGACTTACTACTTCTACATTCTAATCTTTTAGAATGTTTAGAACACTACCTAGTCCTATTTACTACTTAGTAGTTTGTCTATAGTATTAAGTAGGGATAGTCTTAGTTGAGTTCACAGCTGAGAACATAGGTCTGTCTTTGTTGAAAGAGAGAGGTTAATAAGGAAATGTTAGTATATATACTTACTCTCTTAGACAACAAGACTGTATAAGCTGTATATTCTCTTCAGAACAAGTAGTAATTTATTAGAGAACATTCTAGGTACTAGCTCTAAGTCTTTATCCTCTTAGCTCCCTTCTCAGGATCCTCTCAGATCTGAACAATAGCTCTAGTAGACAGTAAATATACTAGTTTATACATTAATAAGGTTTTTGTGTAGGAACACTACCTTCCTACTTAATGTGTTCTACTTCTAATCCTAGTATACAATACAGACAGAACTCTAAACTGGAATGGTTGAATTACTGAGTTTGTCTAACTACAGATGACTATTTAGGATCATAAGGAAAGTATCAAGTTTAGAGTTACTAACCTTAGAAAGACAGATGTCTTTATCAGATTCAAATAGCTTAAGGCTTACAACCCTACTATTGACTGGTTAGAGTAGACACTTGTGTTCAATTAGTGTCCTAAGTCTTACAACTATCTTGTACTACTGTTCTGAGTAGATGTAAACACTTTTAATACTACTAACAGTTCTAATAAAGGTGACTAGTTGTTCCTCTTAAACTAGGATAGATATGTAAACACATATTCTAGTCAAGGCAGAACAGAGTTAATCTAAAGAATGTCTGAGACAGAACCAGTTTAGAACCCTCTCAGAACAACTCTACTTCAGAATGTACATAGACTCAGCCTACCAGATTTTGTCTGAGAGTTCCCTAAAGTCTTTAGTAAAGAGGAATTCAACCAGCTTCCTAAACACTGTCCCTAGAACTATATAATTGAATTGACTAAGAGTTTCCAACCTAAGGATTGTAAGGTTTACCTACTTAACAGAGACAAGTAGGAGGTACTTGACAAGTTTCTTTAGGAAAATCTTTGGAACAGTCAGATCTGACCCTTAAAGTCCTCTATAGTCTCCCCTTTCTTCTTTGTCAAAAAGAAAGATAGGAAGCTCTACCTAGTTTAGAATTATTGTTGTCTTAATAAGGGTACTGTTAAAAACAAGTACCTACTCTCTCTGATTCAGGAGCTTATTAATAAGACACATACATTTAGAGTTTTTACTAAGTTGGATGTCTAATAAGGGTACAATAATATTCAGATCTAAGACAGAGATGAGTAGAAGACTGTGTTCCAAACTAATTACAGATTGTACAAACTGACTGTAATGTTCTTCAGACTAACTAACTTGTCTATAACATTCTAGTCATTCATAAATCACATTCTTACAAATCTGATTGACTCAGAGTATGTTAGTGTGTATCTGGACAACATTCTAATCTTCACTTAGACAGTTGAGTATTATTACTAACTGATCCAAGTAGTTCTATAATAGCTCTAAGATAATAAACTGTTCCTCTAAAAAGTAAAGTGTTTTTTTACATAAGAGTCAGTAGATTATCTGAGCTTTGTAATCAGTAGAGGAGAGGTCTGTATAGATCTGACAAAGGTAACTGTAGTTTAGAACTGGTTACAACCTTAGAACTTGAAACAGGTCCAAGTGTTTCTTAGGTTTGTGAACTACTACTAATACTTTATTTAAGGCTTTAGTACTATTGTCTGGCCCCTTCACAATCTTACTAGCAAAGATGTTTCTTAGTAATAGAGTAATCAGTAGTAGTCTGTATTCAAGTCCTTTAAGCAGGCTATTACTAGTAAGCCTGTATTAATAGTTCTAACAGTTACAGACAAGTTCTGAGTCAAAGCCAACTCTTCTAACAGTTACAGACAAGTTCTGAGTTAAAGCCAACTCTTCTGACTTTGTGAATAGAGTAGTACTGTTTTAGTTCATTAACAGAAAGTAGTGTCTGATAGTGTTCTGATTAGAATCCCTCTCTATAACAGAACAGAACTACCCTATCTATAATAAGGAACTTCTTACAATTGTCTGTTCCCTAAAGGAGTAGTATTAATATCTCCTTAGTACTGTGTAGAAGTTTAAGATTTAAAGTGATCACCTTAATCTCTAGTACTTTCAGGCACCTTAGAAGCTCAACTACTGTTAGGCCTGCTGAATGTTAGAACTGTAGGACTACAACTTTGTACTGACCTACAAACCTAGAACCTAAATAACAAAAGCTAATTTACTCTTAAGACAAGTAGGTTATGAAAGGAGGGAGAATAATAATAAAAATCTTGTTCTCCTAGACAATTCCCATTTTGTGTCTGAGACAATCTAAGAGATCTGACTTGAATCTAAGAATGTTAACTTTGTCACCTGTATATAGTAAGCTCTGAGACATACACAGGACCAGGTTGTAGTAAAGTAGCTAGAGAAGTAGGCTAAGAACTAGGAGGAGGATAAGGATAGACAGATTTACTAGGAAGACTAACTATATGTTCTAAAGGATTGGAAACTGTAGGAGGACATTGTCTAAGCTTATTATAACAATCTGACTGTAGAACATTCAGGCTAACACAAAATGCAGGAACTTATTATTTGGAACTACTAGTAGCTAGAAATGTAGAGGGAAATCCTAAAGTATGTAACTAGTTACAATATGTACTAACAGACTAAAGCCTACCAGATAAGGGTTTAGACTCTCTTACATCTGTATTAGATCCTAGATCACTCTTAGAAGGAAGTCTTAGTAGACCTGATTAGTAAGCTACTCAAGTCTTAGGGTTACAACACTATCTGTGTAATTGTTAACCAATTCTCTAAGTAAGTTCATACAGTTCTAACTTGAACAGAACTCACTTCTGAAGGTACAGTATACATTTATTAGGATTATGTTTTCTAGTTATACAGACTCCCTCAGAAGCTCATTCACAATTACAGACTGTAATTCAAGTCAAAATTCATGTAGGACTTGTATACACTTCTCAGAATTTAAGAGAACCCTTCTACTATATATTACCTACAGACTAATAGTCAAACTGAGTAAGTCAATCAGGAGATTGAGCTCTATCTCTGAATGTTCATTAATTATCAGTAGTCAGACTAGTCTGAATAGTTAGCTCTAGCAGAATTTGTACACAATAACTGACAATACTCTATAATAGGACAGTCCCTGTTCTTCCTCAATCATAAGAGACATCTGTACTAGAGGACAGTTCTGAACTGGAACAGTAGTTCTGAATCTGTAACAGACTTTGTAAAACAGATATACAAGACTAGGGAAGATGTACAAGCTCTTTTGAAGAAGGTTGTGTAAGTAATAAAGTAGAACTATAATTAGAAGAGATCTACAGCTAAGGATTACTAGCTTAGGGACAAAGTTATACTAGAAGCTATTAATCTGACTATAGATTGCCTAATAAAGAAGTTGGACAACAAGTGCTTCAGACCCTTTATTATTGAAAAGAAGGTTAGTATCTCTGTCTACAAACTCTAACTTCTAGTAATATGGAAGTGTATACACTTAGTGTTTAACAAGGTTCTGTTGTCTTAGTACTATGATCCAGGTTTTCCTTTGTAATAAAGACCCCTACTGCCTCTACCAGAACTTATTAGTTCTGAACCAGAATACAAAGTAGAGTACATAGTAGATACTAAGCTAGTGTACAGAAAGCTCAAGTTCCTTATTTACTAGAAGGGATACCTAGTTGAAGAACACACTTGAGAACCTACTAAGAATCTCACTCATACTACTAAGACAATCTAAGACTTTTATTGACTTCATCTGGGTGCTCTACATTAACTCTGCCTTACAGATTTCCAAACCTTACCATTCTAACCTATACTTGAGCTACTAACCAAGCCTAATGTTTACTAATTAGGGCAATTGGTTTTAGAGAGAGGGTGATGTTATAGTTCTCTACTTTTATACCTTTAGTTCTGAGGGTTCTACACTCTTCTGTACTGGAACTCAGGACTTCCATCCCTTAGAGGCACTGTCTATAAACTATGTGTACTGACTCTTACTACTACCCTTCCTTACTTCATCATTCTGTTCCTTTGACCACCCTTTCATTCTTTGTTCATTCTATAGTCTCTTACCCTTTGTCTATCCCTTCATTCTTTGTACCTTTATCTTTAACCTTCCTTTCTTTCATTCTTTATGGCTTATCATTCTTAGTAGCTCATACTCTCTGAGTGCTCTTGTATAGTTTAGTATATATAGGTGTACAAGATCAGACTGGTCTAGTAGTCTTGATCTTGTCTACTCCAGGTAGTCCTGTACTCTTAGACTCACTCTATATACTCTACTCTTGTCTCACTCTCTCTCTCTGTCTGTTCTGCAAGTTCTGACTATGTTCTAGTGCTTGCATTCTGTATTTCTGTTGTGTAGGATAGTTGTAGCCTGGGTCCCCTTGCCAAGCCTTCGGGTCCCCTCTACACTGTTGCTGACAGTGTCCACATGTAGGTCAGACACATCAAACCACACTTTTTGACTTGTCATTTTATAAAATCAATACAATATTTAATTTTTACTTTTTTACAAAAATAAAACCAGCATCTTGTAGACAAGATGCTGTATTTTATAATTATAATTTTTTGTATTGTATAAGGGTTGTTGTGAGTAGAAATGAGTGAAATAATCTTAAATTGACCACATGGGGCACTGCCACAACAGTGTAAGTTATTATATGGTAGAGTCATGTACTTAGGTTGAACAAGTGATGTTGTATTTTACAAGGGAAACGTTGATAGCCTTGCCACACCATCTAATCAGATCACTCAAAAATTGGACAGCACTATGGATAGCAATTTTGTGTATGTACTACTAATTTCCTAGCCTTAAACCAGTATACTTAGCATATTCATCACTCATCCTTGCTGCTAATTGCCCGAGTTCCTCATCGTTCGCTGTCTTTGCGTCCTGCTCCCACTTCATGAGATGGTATTTTAGTTCCCTATGCTTTTTGTCAACTTCTTCCCTCTTTGCTTTCAATTTCTCTCTAACTTCTTTTGCCTTCTGAGTTATATCACGCAAGGTCCTCTCGTACTCGTCGAAAGTATCCTTATCAACTCGGTATGCATATGAGCCAAGACTCTCGGCATCATATAAGGCTTGATCTTGTACATCTACTTTTAGGTTCTTGGAGAAAACCCTCAGATCTTCCGTCTCCTGAGCCATGGTTTGGATCAATGTTTGTACAGTCTGATGTACAGTAATGTAATCGCTTTGTGCCTTTGAGAGAGTCGAGCCATGCTGCGACTTGCTACTTCTTTTACTATCCATTCTTGATTTACTCATGGTGGCTCCAGAAGACAGTCAGAAAAAGCGATCAGTAATAGAGAGTACTTTCACAGAGAGAATAGTTTCAGAGCACGAGACGCGCCACTGAGTATTTATTCAACAACTTTGCTCAGAAGCCTCGATTATACAGCGGCTTGTATTAATATCGACGTAATAACAAGGATGTGGCAATGACTGATGGCGCGGCGGTGGAATCCTTTATTTTCTCTACATGCAGTTTAGTAGGTCTTTGGTTGGTTCGGTGTTGACATTCAGGTTAGTATAATTTGTACCAAGTATGGAAGGCCTGCAAATAAACTAACTTCGTTTACACACTCGACGCCACGAGCTATTAGTTTTGTTGATTGCATTGTCCCAAGGGAAGGAAGCGTGCGAAAGGGAAACTGAGTCTTGTACACATCAAGTGATACGCTTTGGACTTTTGCCCGAGGTGAGAGTTGAGACATTATACAGCATACTAATAATAATAATATGATACTATAGTGAAATGCTCAAGCGAGTTAGGCAGGCCTGCAAATATCGTTTCTAGACAGACACATAATTATTGACTTGAAATTGATATTCAGCAATCCTTTATCATTACTAAATGCATTACAGATCAGGTAATATTATACATATATAATGCACTCTAATAAATTTATACATCTATTTATAATCAGGAAAGGTGATTGAATTTTGTATTATATAATAAAATATAGGCAGTGAGCAATAGCTAGGATGTAAGGTGAATACATTTAGTTGGAGTTTTCTTTTCATACCTTGCTTGAATATATATATATGCATCATTATCTAAGTACTTGCTTGTATCCTCAATCCTTGTGTTTTAGTACCATAGTTTTTTATTCTTTATTTCTAGTCCTATCCTAATTTAAATTTAAATTATAATCATTACTACCTCTTTCTAATTAGACGTTCCACTTTTGAATTCCTGCATCATCCTTATTAGTCCTTCAAGCCCATCTGAATTTTTGCTTTTGATATATCTAGTCTCTTGTTCTTTGACTCTCCTTATAATGTTATTATAAGATGCATATTCTTTTTTCCAAGCTTCATTGTTACTCCTCAGGACTTTAATGTGCTCCTTGCTATCTAGTGCTGCTGCTGAAATGTGGCCGAGTACTTTGTTCACTCCATCGAGCAGGAGGCCTTCTACTTCGGAGGGGTACATAGAGCCTTCAATGTTGTCTCTGCCATCTATCAAACCCTCGACCATCAAGTCTAACTCCTTTTTCCATGCTGTCTATTTCACAAGGAGCTCGCTAAATGTTTTTGATATCTTTCCTACTGTTTCTCGCCCCTCTTTAAGTGCCCGTACTTGCTCTGTGTACCTTCTCTTTGTCCCTTCAAAGTCGGATTCTGAATGACTATTGCCTGTACTCGTGCTATGCTTGTGACTCATGGTGCTCTGATATATGGACTCACTGGAAAGTATAGTATATGAATGATGATAGGAAGGTGGTATTTAGACCCGTTCAGATGGGGCTCTTATATGCTGAATCCAGATATGCGCATCAAAAAGGTCCTTGCAGGAAACGTCATCTGTGCAATACAGGAAACCATACCCATCACTAAACCAGTAATTTGCCTACTCATAGACATTTATGTCACTTATTTATGGTCCTCGTTCACGCTGTTCGTGTAAACATATATGGTATGTCCTTGCAGCAAATATACATGTTTGCTCTGTGTACAGTTACACGGATCAGAGAAGTAGTACGTAAGTAGAGCATTGTAGAATAAGTGCAAATCAGGGTTAACAGACACTCGAAAGTTTCAGAGGCTTAGGCTGTGGGGTAAGACGTTCAGTCGGTGCAGTGCTAATATAACTGGCTGGCAGGATGCAGGGTTATTACTGAAGAGTACCAAAATATATGCACGTGAGCTGGACGATCGGCATGACGAATGAACAAAAACAGTTGCGTCTCTTCCTTTCGAGCTCTCCTTCGTCCTACTAGTATATTTGCATCCACCCTGTCCGCAAATCCTTGCTCCAACACCCCAAACAAAAAGACAGCAGACGACGTCTCTCACTGCAGCAACTCGAGGACGGTCCTCTCTATCTCCTTGGGGCTTTACCTGACCTGACTGGGTGTCGCTGACAATTCCGAGGAGCACGAGGCGGAGGAAAATGAAAATGCAAAGGAACTTTCCAAAGTAGTGCAAAGTAGTGCTATGCGTTCGGCACTCTCGAGCATTGTTCGGCGGGGGTTAGCGAAATTAGTCGAGCAGAGTTCTAGCTATGGGGAGAACCTCCCCATACTTGTCCAGAGGAGGCTTACTGCGTCTCATACTGTACAAGCGAAATAGGAAGTCCTGCAGAAGGACTACAAAAAAGGAGGTATGAGAGTGAAAGGGTAGACACAGGTATCTCTATGACGGATGTGCAGCCACTGTCTCCGGGTCTTCAGCACCAACAATTGAAGAAATTGAAACGGGTACGTAAAGACGTGGAGTGCTATGAACGTCATCCGAAGCTGGAACTGGGAACGACCCACGACTCTAGAGAAAGCACCTGTACCAGAGTTCTGGCCTAATGCCCCACGAAATCACTCTGACATCGAGTCACTTCTTTCCACTCGTGATCTTGATGCTCTGAAGCGCTCGGCGGACGCACAATCATTGCATCAAGGGTTCGCTCTTTTTTCTTACGGAACAACGACTTTGAGAGTGAAGTGCAAGACAAGATCTGTCTGTGCAAGTCTGAGACCAATTGGGCAGATGATTCCAAAAGCGACCGTGCGGTCAGGACTACAAACGATAGAAGAGTGAAGACAAAGATGTAACAAAGAACTTACAGACGGAGACACAGAGATTCAAGAGCAAGCCTTCCTCCTCTGTCTAGTCCGTTCATTCTGCACCATGGTATGGGTATATGCTGGGGACATTACATAGACTGACCCTCCTACCTGACAGGAACCAGTTGTACGTGCACAATTGAATAATGCATTGCTGATGCCTCACACATAAATCCAGTCTGCTATCATGCATGAATAATAATCTGCATCAGACTCGCATCACGAAAAAGTCGCAACAAATGTATTTAATAATAGCAAAAGTAATCTAATAAAATGATTTCATAAGCATTACATTCTAAAATAATACTTGT